AAAAAAAACCGCGCCACCATGGAACAATTGCTCTTTTTCGTGAATTACGCCCGCAAGCATCCGGAAATGTTGACATCTAAATTTGGAAGTGTGAGCGATTTATGGGAAACATTGGCGTTACAATTAAATTCAATGGATGGCGCAAAACGGACGGCTGAGAAATGGAAGGAAGTTAGTAAAATAGGTACATATATAAAAAGTGAATGCAATAACGATATAACTTTCAGACCATGAGTACGTGGAGAAGCCAATTGAAATGTCGAGCACGGCGTGGACGAAGTAGTGGCGTACCAGAGTATGATCAGTTCGCTTTTGCAGACGAAGAAGATGCTAGCCAACCGCCTAAACAATTTAAAGAAACACCAGGAAATGAGAGTGAGACTGAGGTACATAGAAAGATAAGTGGGAGTGTCTACTTACTTGCGCCACGGTAAAAATTACGCCGAAAGAAGTTCTGTCCCATTTCTCCGGCAACACAGAAAGGAGAATTCTGAGTGGTAAGGGTTATAATCCCTAAGCGCGGCCGAAGGCCGCCTACCCAGAAAGAAGTTCTGTCCCACTTCTCCGGCAACACAGAAAGGAGAATTGTGAGTAGTAAGGGTTATAATCCCTAAGCGCGACCGAAGGCCGCCTACGCATAAAGAAGCGCTGCCCCACTTCTCCGGCAACACATAATACACGTAAAAATTACCGTAGATCTACGGTAAAAGTTATCGTGGCGAGTGTGTGTAGACACTGCCAATATAAATACATGTATATATTTTTTTTATATAACCAAGAAAATCTGAATTTTTTAAGATCATTACGGAACCTGAAATAAAGATAGAAATTAAATCAGAAATAGACGACGAAAACTCAACCAACATGAATGAGGCTCGCTCATTTACTCCAGAAGAGAATTCCGAAACAGAAGTAAGTTAAAAATTCCATAAGAGTATTTGTTATGTAAATTAGCTCGATTCACTACAATTAAGGTCACACTAGATTTTGAAGAAGAGCTTTATATAAAAACTGAGGGCGACGAAGATGCAACCATTCTGGAAAGTACATCCACTGAATTGCTTGATTTTCCAACATTGGGCTTTCCGGTAAAATTTTCCATTTGAAATTTTATAGTTCTAGCATATATTCAGAACAATTTTCTGCAATATGTATTTAGCAAACTTCGCGGTCAGACCATTTTGTTATTTCTCGCTCAACAACTACAAATACCTCAATGAAATTCACAGAGACCAGCAATAACGGAAGTATCCAACTTATTTCGCGCGCCTCAATTGCGGATGAATCCAAGAACTCGTCGGAAGAAGCGGCTATAAATAGATGCGACGGTATTCTTCCACATCCCATAGAAGTAATGGAGGAGCCTTCCAATAAGAACAGGGACACATCTCTTGTTTGTCACCCAACAACAGCATCCATGGACAAGGCTTCACAAGGCTTGGATGAGATGAGTATACAAAAAAAAATTGTCCCTCCAGGTTCACATCCACCTGCGGGCAATAGGTTAAAAGTTATCCAATTGGATAATGGACTATTAAAAATAATTGGAGCACCACGAGAAAAAACTACATTGGATACTCGACGGATACAAATAGTTGGAGCACCACAAGAAAAAACTACATTGGACAGCGGACGGAGACAAATAATTGGTACTCCTCCGTTAGCAACTACTCTAGATACCACTAGGGTACAAATTATTGGTGAGCCTCGACTAACCACTCCACTGGATACACCTACGAAAGCTTCTGAACTAGTTGAAGAGGAAATTTGTTGCACAGAAGATTCTTTGCAACCTGCATCATCTTTACATACTCCACGTGTACCTCAAGACCCGCCAAATGTATCGAGGAAGCGCAAGATGACATGTCTTAACGAAATGTATGAAACAGTTATCGCAAGCATGAAGAAACGAGATGAGCGGGAAGAGCAAATGTTATCCGTTTTGCAGGGATTGACTGTTGCGGTAACCAGGTTGGCGGATAACGTAAAAAGATGGGAGGAGGTGTTATCATCGTGTTCAAGTGATTAGTAGAAAAAAGGTAATTTATTTTGTAATGTAATCCTTTCATATAATTAGAAAAAAACATAGACTTAAAAAATAATAATAATAGGACTATTACTTTACGCTGGCAAAGGCTTTGGGTCATATGCAATTAAATTAAACTGTTCCTTTTACTTTAAATTTCATACCTTTCATTTAAATTTATATGAACAAATTGAGTAAAAGGTCTGAAATTTTAAGAAAAAGCATTTGCTTAGGTTTTATGCATACGGCCTACTAATTTTTAATTTTTAAGAACTTTCGAGGTTTTCGAATTTTTGGAAACAGCCTAAGAGATTTTTCCATTATATCTAGGTCCGAATAATACGATTTCTAACATGTGTGCCATCTACGAATTTGGGTTCATTCTTCATTGCCGCTCTATCCTTCACATTCGCCGTTGTTTCTTCTACTAATGTATCGAGCTCAATTTTGTCCACCTCCGTGCCACCACCATTCTTCAAGAGCATATTATGCAATATGGCACATGCATATATAATATTAGCCGCGCGCTCGTGTGCATAATATAGCTTGCGCTTCTTCGATAGACATTTGAATCGAGTCCTTAACAGACCGAAGGCAAGCTTTATTGAATTATGAGCACTTCTATGCTTCTCATTATATACAATATCCTTGCGATTCTTAGCTCTCACTACAGGAGTGAGCAGCCACGGCTCTAGTGGATATTTAATATCTCCGATTAATAGAGCATTGGTTGAATATTCGTTGTTATGGGACATCAAAAATTGACGTGTCGGCGAATTCCGCCAAATAGTTGATGTAGATACCGAACCAGGGCCTCTGGCATTTAATGAGGTGAACAATAAGCGATAATCACAGATCTGTGGAATAAACGCAATACTTAATAGACATTAATTAAAAAATCAATGGCTGGGTTTGCTGATGAACTTACTCCTTCAACTTTAATGGTGCATTCACCAAGTTCATTTACATACACTGATGCACCATTTTTTTCGGTTGGCATTAATATATTAATATGCGCTGTTCCAATGGTGCCCACGATGTTATCTAAGCCACATTTCTCTTTGAATCTGAAGTGAAATGTGATGGTTTATTAGAACTCATCTTTCGACTCTTCCGAGACTCACCCCTTCTTCACCACTAGTTGTTGCTCTTCGTTGTTGGGGAAGCTTATTTCGTCACCTTTGTGCTTAACTAATAGTTCTGTTATACTCGATAAGGCACGCGACACAGTTGGCTGACTAATGTCCAACACATTACCCGCCATACGATTTTGAAAAATTCCGGTAGCATAAAAATTGAGCGCAGCTAAAAACCTCAAAGCAAGTGGCAGAGTAGTACCCTGATCGTCGAACGGCAGCAAATCTTCAATTAATGAGCGACACATCGATTTCGGTAGGAGAAACTGTTTGGTGAAATCTTGTGGCAAGTCAAATGGGTCTGTGTGGTCGCGGAGGCGTTTCATGCGATTGCTATTGAAGGCATCATGCCACTTGGCGATCAAGAGCAGTAGAAATTCCTCTTCCATTTCCAGATTATAAAGTTTTTTTCAAGGTTCTTAAAAATCCAAGCATTGAATTCGATGTTCTTCAATTTTGGTCAACAATTTTTTGTTTACGTTTCGATTAGTAATGGGGAAAAGTCTACTCTGACTTAAGTCGAAAATCGACTTTTCGCTGAAAAAACTCGACTTTTGGAATCGACTTCATTCGCCTCAGATCATCGTACAGTTTCATAAGTAACGTAAAGCTGCCTTTACATGAGGCGATTTTTGACAGGCGATAATCGCCTGCAAAAGTTGACTTGCTGCTGTCTACTTTGAGGCATGCGATTTTTGAATCACCATTTACACGAGCGATTTTCCAGAGCAATGTTGAATCGCCTGGAAAATCGCCTCCTGTAAAGGCAGCTTAACTCTTCTTCTTACCGTTTTTTCTGGCAGGCTGGTGTGTGTGTTTGGCAGGCTGTAGGTGTGTTTTTGTTTTGTGTATTGGTGTTTTTGGTTCAGTGTGTTAGTGTATTTTGAATTAATTGTAATATTAATGGAAGAAATTGTAATAGAAATTAAAGAAATTGTAAAAGATAACAGCAAATGACAAAAAAAAAACAGGCGATATGGGCTGTAGGCATTTTTTGGCAATCCGCTGGTAAAAATATAAATGGCTGGGAACTAAGTCCTCATGTCGCCAGGTTATTCCTCCAATTAGGTAAATTATTGTATTATAATGGCTGGAAACTATGTCCTGTTGTTGTTGTTGTTGTAGTGGCTACTACAACCCCGCCCAGGACGGCTGGTATCTCAGTCGTTGTCGTCAAGTTCCACTAACGGCAACCCTAGGAAGCGTGCAGCTTCTGTGGGGTTTGTCCACAGGGACAAGGCCGTTAGGGTTGTCGGGTTTTCCGGGCATGCGAAGAGATGTTTCGAGTCGTGTGGGGTCTCTCTGCATGCCGGACACTCATTCGGCACATCCTCATTCAGCCTACTCAAGTAGGAGTTCAACCTGCTGCAGTAGCCGGAGCGAAGTTGAGCGAGTGTTGTGCGTGTCTCCCGAGGCAGATGAAGCTCCGTCTCGTCTATGTCCGGGGGTGGTATGCCTAGAACGGCATTCACAGGTCTAGAGTCTACATAACTCGAGACTGAGTCCCTGTGAATGCCGTTCAGGGCCTGTCGGTAAGCTGTCCGGTCCAGAGGTTGCTTAATGAACCTCTGGACTTCGGCCGTCAGTTCATATAAATGCCTCCTGACGTGCATAGGCGAGGGCTCCTCTGCAAGCAGCTGTTTGCTTGGGTGGCCACTTCTGTGGCTCCCGATCAGGAACTGCTTGCAGAGCATTATATTGTGCTCCTTTACAGGGAGCATTTGCGCCTCGCCATGTAGGTGGTGTTCAGGCGACATCAGGAGGCATCCTGTCGCTGTCCTGAGTGCGGTGTTCTGTAAAGTCTGTAGCTTCGTCCACTGCGTCCTACTAGTCCCTGGCGACCACACTGGCGCTGCGTAGTTCAACTATGTCCTCATATCGCCTGGTTATTCCTCCAATTTTATTATTTTATAATTATTCGTCAAATTATAATTTTTAGTTGTGATTGAAAAAATTTCTGTTTCGTTTTGTGCAACAATCATGCATGTTACCTTTTTATTTCACAGTTACTTTGTTCATACGATAGTACCGTACCAACGGTACGCTTAAACATTTTCATTTAATTTTAATATAAATTTTCTTTGTGCCAACGACTATTACATTACTTATGTAATTATTATTTTGTAGTATTATCTTCCTTTAAAACTTTGGATGTTATATTTAATGAACCGACTTCATTTTTGTGTATATATTAGTCAGATATTTGCTTTAACAAAACTCGACAGGACAGCATGACCGTGTACGTCGAGGAGCCATTTTGAACTGTATATATGGCTAGTTACGTTTCATTCTTACCTCGTCCATTGTGTTCATTTGATTTTTATGTGTTCGTAGCAAAAGCGACCACCTGGCAACCTGTTAGGGTGGCATTTTGCTAATTTTGCTGAAATTTATGCATTTATACGCCAAAATCTTTTGATAAAGGGAAAAACTTCGGTTAAACAGATTTCCATACAAAGTTTGCCAGTTTATTTATCAATGTGATACACTTATTCTTTTATTAAGTTTATCAGCAGTTTATCATTTTTGATGAACACCCCTTTTGTTTGTAAATTTTTAGACTAAAGCGCCACGGAGACGATCAAATATCTTTATGAACGCCTTAGGTCGGTGTTATGCAGACAAACTTTTGTTTGCCAAATTAAATGGCGGCTGCTTAGTTTGCTCGGAGGTGGTTATGTCGAGTTTGGCACAGGGTTGCACGTTCTTTATGGTTTTCATGGCTATTGCCAACACGAAATGAGAATTTCAGATGTACATAACGCGCAAAATTTAAAATTTTTGTATATGACAACACCGAATTTGCTGCAGTTTGACCAAACAAAATTAGTTTGCTGTGAGAGTCGCCAAACTCGCTCTCTCCGAGTTTGCTGCAACAACAATTGCACGCAGTTTGCCAAACAAAATTTCTGCATAACACCGACCTTAAGTGTATTGGTGTCGTCGGCCTTTGTCAGCTATGCTTGATGAAAATCAAAAAAATGTTGATATTTGAATTTGGTGACTATTTATTTGACCGTCTCGCATTATGCTTGACAAAAACGTCGTGGTGAGCAAGTGCGAGGACAAAAAAAAAGAAATTGTTTTACGTTTGATTGGTCATTATCAATGCTTACTATCTTTATGAAATGTAATAAATATTAATTTAAACATAACATGTAAAATTATGTCATAAATGATATAATGGCTGCGTTTCTTTATACATTCCGGATAATCCCAGTTCACAGCCGGAATAAACAGAATGCGTTTGAAATATACGTTAACATATCATCAGGAACGTTCTAAAGAATAAGTAAACGAAAAAGTTTATTCCAAACGTTCAGAATGAATAAAGAAATACAGCCAATAATTAACTGCAAATACTCATTCGATAACAACGTGCGAAAAAAAGAACGCTGCGTTCTCAGAATACAAATTGGTGATCGACGCGTTTATTTGAACGTTTGCGGACAAGACACGATCGTCAGAGAACATACCCCAATAAAAGGGTGTTCACAGGCGGCGGTTTAACAGGCCATTTTAGAGACGATTAGTTGAATCAAAATTCATTGGAAGCCGTGGATAGGGCGTTCACACCGGGTGATTGTTGTTTTCAACCAAAAGTTGCCTGTAAAATCGCTTCATGTAAGCACCATATTACCCGCATCTTAAATAAAATAGTCCCACAAAATTTCCAAAGAATTTAAAAAATAAACGTACGACAAACACTTTACAATACTTGTTTAGGCAACAACAACAATTAACACTACTTGTTAAGGCAATTGCAACACCTTACAAAACTTGCTAACACATTTGATCTCTGTTTTACAACTGAACTTGTGGTGTGCTGTAGCAGCGACCTTATATACCTGCGCTCGAACTCAGAACGTTCTGCCATCTATCGCATATGCTCTCATTCTCTCGCTGTTCACAGTATTCCTCCATTCGACGTTTCTTGCTGTCGAACATTCTGCCATTTCTTTTCGTTCTTGCCGGAAATATATGGCAAGATATGAGCTCTGATATGTGCGGTCTCCATTGGCTATTTATATTCTAACATATGTATCAAGATATAAACATTATCCTGTGGAGACGGGCAGTAACTGCTGCCTTTTAATTGCTCAACTTCTTTTGCACCAGAGCAACTCAAAAATTTCCAACAGTAAAAAGTTACGAGTTGGCACTACAGAAATGTAAAATTTTCTCACCATAATAAAAAGTATTTTCACCATGGAATGAAATGACTATCTCAACGCTCGGAGCGCTGCCACTGAAGGCCTTTGATAGAAAAGAGAAAATTTTGAATAATTAAACAAACAAAAATTTTGAGATTTCTCATTGTGAATACGAACGCCATAATTTTTACCTAGCTCGTGGGGCTACGTAAAATTTTGACAGATTCTAAATATGTATACACATAAAATTGTTTGGCGGTAATAAAGAGTCAAGAGAGATTTCATCACTAAATTCTCGCGTTTTTTTTTTTAATAAAAAAGGATAATTGATCTTTTCTTCTTTTTTTTTTGTTTTTGTGACCCGCTCCAGCTGACAAATTAGTGACTCTTTTTTGAGACTATAGACGTAGGTTAGCTTACTGAATACGTATGTAACTTTGGACCATGTTAACTGATTTCTATAATTTTTTTAAAGTAAAGGTGGTCAGATGTCCCATACTAATTTAGTTTAGACCCGATCATTGGATCGTGAGAATTGAGAATTGAAGTTTTGTTTTTTGCTTAAAAATGGGTAGGTTCAGAAGGCGCAGCAGTTGAGCGCAACTGTTGCTAATGATCGTTATGCGTCTTCTGAACGGCTTGTTACATTGGGCACGTTTAGAAGGCGCAAGAGCTCAGAAACTGTTGCGATTGCACCTTCTGAACGCGTTCTTGTGTATTTCTGATCAACTGAACAGTTGCGTGTTAGATGATCGTAATATTAGCGATCCCGTACGAGTCCGGGCTAGTCAAAAATAGTGAGAATCAGTCAGATTTTACTGGAAATCGATCCAGTACTCGGTTCTCTGACTATTTAGAGGACAAAAAAGAGAGTAATCCTTCTGTCAGAAACTATAAGTTTTAGTCTGAGAATTTTTTGCCGGTAAATTCTGGTAGATGTGTCAAACTATCAGCTGTAGTGTTTTTGGCAACCAAATTGTAAATAAAAGAAAAGTGCATTCTGCTAATTCATGTTGAAAAGTATTTAACTGTTTAAGTGGATTCTAATGACTTTGAAAGTATTTTTGGTTACTTACATGTGTGAGCTGAGTGTTTTTACATGCAAAATAAGCAAAAATTAACAACCAAAATTTGGAGGTTATGTTGAAGTTTACAGAATTTACCACTTTTTTTCACTAGAAAGCGATCCCGTACTTTTCAATGTTACTCTCTCGCTCTGAGCGAATTTTTATTTTTTACAGTTTTACTAGTTTTAGTCCGAGGAATACGGGATTGCACCTAATATTTTTCTGATCATTTGAGACAACATGTTGGTGTGTACCTTGGAGAGTTGAATTTGATGGCTAATGTATCAAGCCGTTCAGAAGACGCATAACGATCACTGATTTTGTTAGCAACGGTTGGGCTTAACTGCTGCGCCTTCTGAACCTACCAATTAGCTGTTAAATTCAACTAAAGGTACACTTGGCGTTGTCTCAAACTATCAGAAAACTATTACGATCATCTGACACGCATCTGTTGTGTTGATCAGAAGTACACAACAACGTGTTCAAAAGGTGCAATCGCGTCCAATTACTTGTAACTTTGCGTTTATACTTTCAAAAAATTTCCTTCAATTTGCCTACACGTATGAGCAAATCGACAATCATCAAAAACACAATTTCCTGCACACAAAACACTATGATAAGCTCTTGAAATTGAAAAATTGCCCATCGTCTTGAAAGCAAAATTTGTGAGTGTATTGTCAAAAAAGTTTTGAGTATATGCAAATTCAAGGCACATAAATACAGGTAGAAGCCAAAATGACGTTGCTCTCATGAGAACCAAACCTTTAAACTTCAACTTGATTTTATTTTATTTCCTATATTTCGTTACGCTTAAAATGTCATGTCGTTTGTTTTTTTTGAATGTTCGTTAAAAACAAATTTTAATTAACATTTGCATTTTTGTAGTGTTGTGCGGTTTATACTTAGTGTATGTGTTAAAAATGCAGCACCTGAAGCGTTGTTTTTTATGTGGTGTTAAATATAATGCAGACATCACTAATTTTTTTAACGTGCCTCAATGCCCTCGGCGTAAGGAGCGTTGGGAAAGCAGCTGTGGGGTAGAGCTGCAGCGAAATGCCTTGCTGTGCGTTAAGCATTTTAAAGCAGCAGATTTCATAAATGCACCAGGAGGTACAGGAAAGGCACGTTTGATGCCAAGTGCTCTTCCTATGAACCTTATGCCGGAAAGTCCTTCCAACAAAACTGCAACTCATAAATCAAGTTGTGAAAGCTTAATAAATGATCGCGCTTCACAAACTGAGTAAGCATTGTTAAAACGCGATATATTTATAGAATTATTTTTAATTTAAGTCGTTTAGTGGAGACTTAGAACAATCCAGCTATAAACTCGAAATTCTGTTGCTGAAGTCAAGAATTGAAAATCTGGAGGGTGAAAACTCAGCACTCAAGACAGAGTACTATAAATATAAACTTTCAATGTATAAAAAAATAGAAAAGAACATACAAATTAACAAATTTTAACTAAAGAAAATAAATAAATAAATACAAAACTTCAAATTTACTTAAAAACGTCAACCAGCGAAATGTAATTTTTTTATTTTTCCTTACACGCTCATTTTTATTTTTACTCTCCCGAAAACTTTGACTTTTGTAGGTTTGATGTCAATTTGGCTTCTACCTGTTTTTATTGTACCATGATGCAAATTTAAACCAATTTTTTTAACATATAAACCTAAGTTAACTGTGTTGATTAATAGGGCTATTTGTTGCAATCATGTCAATCTTCAGGATCTTCATTAAGGCACCGGCCTCATATTTCACTCGTCGTGACCTCCTAGCGTTCATTTTAGAGTCATTGAGTCTTCAATGAAAATTTATCGATTAGTTTCCATCCCACATTTAAAATGCCATATAAACGCATTTGTTTAACTAATAAATAATAATGTGTATATATTTATATCTTTATTGATTTTATATTTTGCACAGTGACTCATTATTTTTGGGCCATTTTATTACTTTCTAATATTCATTTCAATGCATTTTTAATGTGTATAGGTATATGCTTACACATACTTTTAATTAAACAATTAAACATTTAATAATTCAACTGACATTTGTATGTATGCTTACACGATTTTTCTGGAAAAAATTCACTACTACAATAGAGTTTTTGTTGCGGTTTTGAAGGTTATGCATTTCAACTTTTTCTATTGAAAACAAAACGCACTTTTCTCAAAGAATGTTTGCATTTTATCAAAAGAAAGAAATTCTAATAATTGTTTCACTAAAAATATCTGGCAAATTGGCATTACTGACGCATTTAATAATTTGCATATATAATTTACATACATACATTCATAATTGTTGAATATGGAGCTTAAAATGCAAAAATGGTCATTGTAAATACATACATAAATACATATATCGAATTTAAATTGAAACTATTTTCATTAAAAAAACATGACAATTAAATTTTCCAATAGCGTCCGTTATTATTGAATGCCCCTAATGGACTTGGTTAGCTGGAATTGTGTGGAAGCAGGGAATAAAGGTTTCGCAGCATGTTTTGCTCTTTTTATTATTTTATTTTGTCGATTTTTAATTTTTTTTGCTGAAATGCTTGAATTCAATGTACGCATATTTTTGTGAGTGTATTTGTGTCTTTGTAGTCGTTTATTGTTTATTGGAAAAAGTTGCTTGGAAGGGTATCAGCTGTTAACACATTTAAATGCCTAATAACTTTCACTTAATTCATTTTAGTACTTAATTATGCATTTTACTGAGGGAATTTTAATGTTTTTGTTTTAATTTTATTTTCTTGAATTATCTCGTTTTCATTATGAATTTTTCGCCCTACCAATTTCTTGTGTCTGCCTGTTGCGCTAACTGCTTGCTTCCCGCACAGTGTTTTGCCGTACCTAGAAATATATGCAGTATGTTTGTTTGTATTTGCTTACACTTTTGATAAATTTTTTTGCTAATTTTTACTTGTTAATTGAATCGATTTTCCTTGGGTTCATGGTAAAATTCTTCCGCTTCCAACAAAATTCCATTTCCGTACTAACGCGTTGCCAACTGCAGTTCGCTTGCTTGTGCCGTACTGCCAACTGGCAATTGCTAGGCAGTGACTAGCCATGGGTAATAGCGCAATTTTTATGGCGCTAGCTCAATAGCGTCGGCGCCGTCTGTGATGTCAGCGCACTAACTCAGTGCAGTGTACTGGTTTGAACACGGCGCCATCTGAGCATCACCACTGTACCAATCGTCATACAGTGTCATACACAATACAGTTGTGTCATGTCTATTATTTCTTTATCTTTCGGCGCTAAACAACGCTTGTACCGCCAACCGAATTTAATTGCTAGGATTGTAGTAAATGCCACGATATTTTCATCATACTTAAGTAAAAGCTTTAAATTTGCCAAGATACATAAGTTTCTGGCGTTCTCACCTCTCAAAAGCAAAAACAAACAACATGTTATTTTTCAAAGAATTAAGACGAATTGTGTGTGTGTTTCATGTGTTTCTTTGTGTTAATAGTGCTAGCGCTTTTCATTTATTGGCGTTGGCGCGGCAACTCCGGCTACGGTGTTAACGCAATGGCGCCGCGCAGCGCAGTGTTACCCATGTCTAGCAGTGACGTCTGCATTTTTTCTCCACTAGGCAACAACCGCGTTTCTTGACCTCGCTAACTTTTTAGTTTATACCCGCCTCTATGTTCATCGTATTTGTATTTAAGTCCGATATCTTATTAGGTTTCTGTAAAGCGTGTATGTATTGGTCTAATTTTACTATATGTACGTGAAAATTTAAACGCATTCTCCTCAACATGCTTTACTTGACTGTACACACTGTATTGTATGTTGTTCATGGTATGTGCTTAATTTTAAGTTTAATTGGTAAATGGATTTTAATAATTTCTCCGCAGCTGTCTGTGTATTTTTTTTTTTATTTGTGTCTGATGTCGATTTATTTTATTTTGTTGTTTTGCTTTAGACTGGTAAGTCTGTATACCTTGTTTACTTTGGAATCCCTAAAACAAGCTTAAATCTAAATGTTTTTCTTGTTGTTTTCAATGTTTTTGTTTTTAAATTTATTTGTTTTAGTTATTTTCTAACATTATTATCTGTTTGCAATTATTCTGTTAATATATTTGTTTCTTTCATTCCTTTGTGTTACATTTTCATGTTTATGCTATTATTTATATTTTGTTTTTAATTTTTAGTTCTTGGGACAATAGTCCTTTACACAAATTTTACTACGTCCTTTAATATGTTTTTTTTTATTATTTATACATATATATATATCGGCTACACTACAGTACATGTACATATGTATGTATGTATGTATGGAATTTGGTTGTTGTTAATTGATTAGGTATGTTTTGCTACATAAGTTTGTATGTTGCACATATATGTACATACCCACGTATATGTACATACATATATGTATATTTATTTATGCATATTATACTTCACTATGTATTGTATATTTCGAGTATCTGTGTTTGTATATGTTTGCAAGAGTATGTCTGTTGTATAATTTAATTTTTTCCATAATTTTGATACACTTTTAGCTCTCATCGAATTGGACCAAAACGGCCTTCATTTTGTGTGTGGCGCTCGCAAGTTGCAAAAAATTTGATGGAAATCTGAATAAAAGTAATCATAAATGGCACTGAAAACACGCTTCTGCTTGTCAATCAAGCATCTATGCATGCGCTTTGAAAAAGTGAAAAAAAATAAATTTTATTTATTTTGTCAAACTCTGGATACAGCCAAATGTGTGCTCAACCGACATGGCGCCTAAATGTATGTAATGGATCACTCGTTTCCACTTTGATGCTTCCGGCTTATTTTACGCTCTCCATCCGGCGCCTTAAAGTATGCAGCACGCAAGCGCCCCGCATCCGGCCGGCTACTTGCTGGGCGCTTCTGCGCGCCTGGTGCATCGAGCTGGTTGCACCGCGCGTGCATCGGTGGCGCTAAAGGCGCAAACACAAGCAAAGCGACACGGCGACAAGATTTTTTAAATTTTGCGAAACTATGCGTTTTAATGAACCCAGAGTGAAAATGAAATAAAAATTAAATAAAAAAACAATTTCTGTATTTTTCTTTGTTCTATATTGTTTTCTTTGTATTTTTACATGTAAGCACGTTTAATTAAATTTTTATATGTATGTTTGTATGTTTATTACTGCAATAATGTGTGCGTGTGTGTATTTGGTACAATATTTTAGAAGTTAGTTTATTTTTTGTTTAATTTTTATGCGTACATGTATGTATTTACAAAATAATAATTAAATATAATAAAAAATTATATAAACATAATAACATAGCAAAATAGGATTGCCAGTGTGCAAGGAAAAATTAAAAATATTTATATTTAAATAAATTAGCGTTTGTACGCGCTTTTTTGTTTTAAGGTTGCAAATTTTCAATTTTCTTTAACCTATACGTAATGCATACATAATTAAATTATAAGTTTGGTGAAATTTCATTTCCATAAACAAACAAAAATTATTTTATAAACAAATCAATGTTTCGACGGCTAACTTATGTATTTAGATATTTGCATTAAATTTTAATTATTTTCAAAAATTATGCTTACAGAAGTAAAGAAGAAAATTTGTAAAATTTATGTGGTATCTATTTTTGTATACACGAGTATGGTTATGCACTTAAATTTTTTTTATATGTAAATGTGGTAGCGGAAGTGTTTAAATATTGTATATTTAGCACTTGAGACACCAAAAATATTGAGAGCTTGAGAGGAGAATATGTATGTATATATTTTTTTAAATTTAATCTAAATATAACTCGAAAAATTTAAACGAATAATTACAACTATAAGAAGTACATACATACTTATATAATACATATGAACAGCCGCTCACAATATGCATACAATTATATTCTTTGTTGTATTTGTAAAAATAATAATTAAGATCAAAGAATAAATGTATCGCTGCAACGAAACTTCTATTTCTGAATTTTTCAATGAGTTAAGCGTACATTTTCGAAGAAATGTACCACCTTTTAAAATCACTCAAACCAAAATAAGTGGACATTAGATTGGCTAGTGGCATAGCATATTAGTAACGATGCAGGCAGAATTTTTTAAATCCAAATCTTTCGATCATATATATATTTAAAAATAATTGTCTTTCTGCCATAAAAACGCCAATGGATTTATTTTGGTAGAAATTAAATTTCTTAGAAAAAATTTGCAAAATATTTTTTTTTAAGAATCTTGGCGGAAGTTGTTAAAAAATATTACGTTTTTCTATAAATATTTAAATTTTGTGTAACAAATTTTTAAGAAGGTAAATTTTCTACAGAAAAATTATTTTTTAACGAAAGGATGCTCTCATAAAAATGTAACATTTAACAAAATAAGAATGAATTGAAAAAATTACTTCTATCAAAAAATTGAATGCTTTTGATAAAGAACTCGTTTTTTTTTACCTTTATCAACTATAAATCGTTTAAGTATTTTTGTCAAAGCAATTAATTTAAATTTTTATTTTTTGTTTGTTAAATATTCAAAATTTTTATGAGCGCATATTTCCGTTGAAAATTAAAATTTCTGTAAAAAATTTACCGTTTCTTAAAAAATGTAATCGGTAAACATTTTTTTACGTTGAAGCAAAGCTTTTTTTCAATGAA